AAGGGAGCTGAAACCTCGTACGCCCAGGCCAGACCCGGAGCGCACCAGCAGCCTCGGCTGGCGGGAAGCCTGGGCTGTAGCAGGCTCTGCTCCTCCTTCAGCCTCCAATGGTGGCTGCATGCAGGAGAGCCAGGGACCCCATCAGAGCAGCAGCTGGGAACTGTGGGCGGGAGATGGACAGGCAGACGGAGGCTGACCCCCCTGCTTCCTCCTGGGCAGGGAGCAGAATGCCCACCAGGCTGACTTGCTCTCTGGCTCCTGTCACTCCTGAGTCCAGTCAGTGGGCCTGGGCAATTTTCTTTAAGCCAGAAAAAGGCCACTTTACTGAAAATGAGGGTCATATGGCCAATTCCCACTCTGAAGGCAGAAGACTTGGCCTCTTCCCCAGCACCCCTCAAAGGACCTGCACGTCCCACTGTCACAAACACAGCAGTCTCCACGATTAAAGCTACATCTCCCCTGCAGTTGTCAGCCTGTACATCCTGCTGTCATAGACACAGCAGCCTCCATGATTAAAGCTACATCTCCCCTGCGGTCGACGGTCAGCACCACCACAGGCACTGGGAACACAGCAGGGACAGCAGAGCACAGCCTCCCGGAGCCCAGCCCCGTGCTCAATGGATGAGGGGACAACGCCAGAGAGAAGAGGTCAGGGGATGCTTCAGATGCAGTGAACAGGCAGGGGCTCTGGCCTCTGGATGCTCAGGGCAAAGGCAAGAGTATGGGCGCTGCTGCTTCCGGCCCATGGGGACGTTGCCATGGCCAAGAGGGCACAGAAGCTGGGTGTCAACAACTGGGTGGGCACCCACTGGGCTAAAAAGACTTGGACCAAGCCTCCTCAAGGAAGGAGTGAGAGACAGTGTGAGGATGGCACTTATCCCAGAGCTGCGAGTCCATGCGGGAGGGACCCCCAGTGTGTGCTGAGCAGCCTCAAAACCTGCCCTCCTTTGGTCTCCCCAGTCATTCACTCGTGAGGCAGGTGCCCACTGTGTGTGAGGCAGGTGCCCACTGTGTGTGAGGCACTGTGGATCAGCACACGTGCACGGCAAACCCTGCCCCGTGGCGCCGGCTGTGGGATAGAGATGGACGGTGAGCAGGGCAAACCCTGCCCCGTGGCGCCGGCTGTGGGATAGAGATGGACGGTGAGCAGGGCAAACCCTGCCCCGTGGCGCTGGCTGTGGGGGAGAGACGGACAGTGAGTAGGAAGGACGATGGGTGCTGTGGAGGAAGGCCAGTGACACCTCCCTCAAATGGTGACATCTAGACACAGCTGATGGAGAGCAAGGCAGGAGCCTCCCGCCAGACACAGTGCAGAGGCTGCCCTGGTGTGTGGGCATCTGGTGTGGCTGCCCATAGCAGGCCAGGGCAGAAGAGGACAGGGAGGGGACAAGACGTTCCAGGGCCCAAGGGCTTGAGCTAGCCCTGTGCGTGGAAGAGGACGCCGTGGAGGGTCCCAGCTGGCTGTGTGCATGGAAGAGGAAGTTGTGAAGCGTCCGAGCTGGCCGTGTGTGTGGAAGAGGATGCTGGAGGGCCTGAGCTGGCTCTGTGCCTGGGAGGGGACGCCGTGGAGAACGGGGGTGGGACCAGGAGCTGCAGAACAGTGACTTTCCCTGGCCAGTCCGCACGGTGTGCTGCTAAGGGGAGGGGGTGGCTGTACCTGACAGTTGACGTCCATCTGTCCATTTGAAAGCAGGTACTGGACCACTTCGTAGTGGCCTTTCTTGGCAGCCAGGTGCAAACACGTAGAGCCCTCTGCGTCCTGCAACAGAAACGCCACTTAGTCAAAGAATCCACACCTGTGATCCTGGTGTGCCAGCCCTGAGTGTGGGATCCAGGAGAACCTGGTGCCCACCATGGGGGTGGGGTCCTGTCCTGTTCAAATGACAAGCAGACTCAGGCTGAGGCCACAGGGCCATTTCCCAAGGAAACAGCCGAGGTCCGAGCCCTGTGTGCAGCCCGCTGTGGCCCCGTGAGTGGCCGGTCGCCCAGCACAGTGAAGACAGTGTGAATGATTCAGTAATACTTGTCCATGTACCACAGAACTTAAAATAATAGATGGCAAAAAGTAGGACACAAAGAGGACCAGGCCCACTCCGTGGCCCCGGAAACACCACAGGCTCTGCCCCTCCTCTTGTTTCCTTTGCTTCTGGGCACGACTTTTTTTTTTTTTCTTTTTTTCCTTTTTGAGACGGGGTCTTGCTGTATTGCCCAGGCTGGAGTGCAGTGGTGCGATCACAGCTCACCGCAGCCTCTGACTCCCATGCCCAAGTGATCCTCCTGCCTCAGCCTCCCACGTAGCTGGGACTACAGGTGTGCACCGCCATGCCTGGCCAATGTATTTTTTTCTTTTCTAGAGACAGGGTCTTGCTATACTGCCTAGGCTATTTTTGAACTCCCGGCCCCAAGCGATCCTCCCACCTTGGTCTGGGAGTCGCAGGCATCATAATTGGGATTATTACAGTGCTGGGATTACAGGCGTGAGCCACCATGCCCAGCTTGGGAACACCTTCTCATTTCCTTTCAGCTCTGTTTCCCCGAGGAGACAAAATAGATCACACTGATCAAACCATCTCAAAGGAAAAAAAAGACATGCAAGGTTGGAGATCAGACCAGGAAGCTCCAGAAGAGGCGGGGGAGCTGGTGCCACCGCACCCAGCGCCATCCACGCGCCTTACACGGGCTCCTCGCACAGGCCCACGGATGTGCCCCGCCACTTTCTCCCTTAGGAGTTTGCTTTGCTTTACTCCCCTGTTCCTGTCTCCGTGTAACCATGTGCCTTCATTACCTTTCTCCCCTTATCTCGGTGGAGTCAGTGCAGCAGTCCTAGAGTTTCACAGGCACCACTGCACACACTGCTCACCCAGCTGGGGCTAAATCAGCATGCTCACCTTCCTCAAGGAAAGCCAGCACAGCCGATTCCCACACGGCTGGTGTTCAGAACTGTAATTTTATCATGAATACAAAATGATGCACGGTTGTTAAAAGGTCTGCCTTCATTTTCAAGTGTCTTTAATCGCTGGAATAGTGCAGCTGACAATCCCCTAACTGCTGGAAGACTGCCACAGCGTTCAGGACAGAAGCAGGTGCACCTGGCAGAGACCCTGGGCAAGCATTTCCGAATCAAGCAGGTAAGAGACGCCAGCAAAGGGAGCTTAGTGAAGGAGGCCAGCTGTCACGAGAGTGAGACACCAGGCAGGAGGAGGGCAGGGCTGGGAGCGGCAGAGTGGGGGTTGAGGGGATTGAGAGTCAGTCAACGGAACCCCGTGGGAACAGACGTGAAGGTGGCAAAGAGCGGGGCTGCTGGTAAGGAAAGGTTTCTGTCGGGTTCAGTGACAGTGGCTAGCTGTGAGGTCTGCAGGCACACAAACAGAAGCTCAAGACACTGGAGTCCACCCCCACCCAAGGGACACCCCACACAGCGCCGGTCTGGTTTCTTTTCCTGCCTCCTCCCCAGAGGTAATCACTGTCCTGAAATCGTTACTCATCGTGCCCATGGATCTCAATACCTTTACTATCTATATCCATAAATGATGTTTTTACACCCTTTTAAATTCTCTAGATCACAGTGTATATCATCTGCAGACACATCACAGACCCTACCGGTATAAGGCCCTGCTCACCGAGCGGCCTCCAGTCCCCGCACCTCAAAGGTAAGGACCCTGCCTGCTGCTCTGTGTCTCGCCCCTGCCAGTCTTTTCTACGCATTACGTTGTATGGAATTCAGTGACTGTTTAAGGCGGCCCCTCAGTCCTGTGTTTTCACCTGCTTGTCGGTCACACACATGTATTTCCTCTTCTGGGAACCACACACTTACGTTCTTTGCCCATTTTTCTGTGTGGTTTAATTTCATTTCTAGTTCTTTATTTTTTTTTTTTTGAGACAGAGTCTCGCTCTGTCGCCCAGGCTGGAGTGCGGTGGCGTGATCTCAGCTCACTGCAAAATCCGCCTCCCAGGTTCAGGCCATTCTCCTGCCTCAGTCTCCTAGTAGCTGCGACTACAGGTGCCCGCCACCATGCCCAGCTCATTTTTTGCATTTCTAGTAGAGATGGGGCTTCACCGTGTTAGCCAGGGTGGTCTCCATCTCCCGACCTCGTGATTCACTCACCTCAGCCTCCCAAAGTGTTGGGATTACAGGCGTGAGCCACGGCGCCCGGCCTCATTTGTAGTTCTTTATATTTTTGGATATTAATCTTTGGCCAGTGCGTTGCAAAATCTTCCCCCAGTGTTTAGACTGTCTGTTCCTGTCCTTTGTGGCATCTTTTTGAAGAGAAATTCTTAAATTTTAATGCACTTAACTTTGTCATTTTTGTGCTTTTTGTGTCTTAGAAGACGCTTCCCTGTGCTGGAATCACAAAGACGGCCTCTGAGGTCTTCCACGTTTCGTAATTTGCCGCGCCTGGGAGTCACATGCTGGCCACGCGCATGTGCACTTCTCCAGTCTCTCCAGCGTGGCTGGGGTCTTTGCGTTGGAGGCAGGAGCACTGCAGGAAGGCACAGCTGGTTCTCGCTTTCTATGTCATTAGACAAACCTCTGTCTTTTAAGACGACAGTGAGTCTGCAGTGTAATTACTGACAGGGTGAGGCTGGAGTCCATCACTCTGCTATTTGTTTTCTATTTGTCCCATCTGGTTTTATTCCTACATTTTAGTTGCACAATTTTTCAGTATTACATTTTATTTCCTCTACTAGTTTTTTTTCCTGAAAAGCTATATTTGTTTTATTTTCTTGGTACTTTCTCCGGGGATTACAATATTCGTCTTTATTGGTCTTCTTAAATTAATATTGTACCACCTCCCACAATAAAATACCTTCACAACAGTGGGATTCCACTTTCACACTGCCCTCCTTTGGGTACTTACTATCCTGTATTTCACAGCAGGTCTTCAATAGTATCGTTTCGCTCAGCATTGTTTTGTTATAACATTGATGAGGTTAAAAGTAAACAAACAAACAAAAACCATTCCCAGCCGGGCCACTGTCTGTGGAGTTGGCAGCTCCTCCCCGTGTCTGTGTGGGTTTCCTCTGGCCCAGGCTGCTTCCCGCCAGGTGACCTGAGTTGCCAGGACAGGCACTGTCCACTCGCAACCCTGACCTGGAGTAACTGGATAAACATTTATCTTGTGTGTATTAATCTTTCTTAAATGTCTGTACAGCTCACATGCATTTCAGTGTTTAATGTTAGAAACACCTTGGTCTTGATTTAGAAGCTTGCTAATGTTTCTGTGACCAGGAACACGGCAGAAGAACTTTGCTCTTGTTTAGATCATCTGTGGTAAATTGGTGTCAACACTTGAAGAAGTCGCATGCTCTAAGGACCTGTCAACAGTGTTGAGTGAAGACTTGCTGTGCTTCCAAATGTGTATAAACTCCACCGTATGACATTATTGGAGTTTAAATGACCTCTCACATTTAGGAAATTTAAATAAGAAAAATGTCTTCATATCCGCCATCCAGGGTTCCTCATTCATTCCCAAAGGGCTAAGTTTTCCTCCTGGAAGCTTCAGGATTCCAAGCAAGCTTATCTGCCTTTTGCTGTTTTTACCCGAACATGTTTGATTTCACCACCATTCTCTGAAGGACACTTTTACTGGAGGTAGGATTCTGGAGTCACATTTTTTTGGCTTTGCTTCTTTCAGCACAATAAAAACTGCCTCCATGGTTTCAGATGAGAAGTCAGTGATATTTCATGACGTTGTCTGTCTAGATGTCACGTGCTGTTTTTCTCTCTTTTTTTTTTTCTTAGAGATGGGGTTTCACTCTGGCACCCAGGCTAGAGTGCAGTGGCGCTAATCCAGCTCACTGTAGCCTCAAACTCCTGGGCTCAAGCGATGCTCCTGCCTCAGCCTCCCAAGGCGCTATGACATACTACAAGCACATGCCACCACGCCCAGCTATTTTTTCATTTCTTTTTTTTTTTTCTCGCTCTGTTGCCCAGGCTGGAGTGCAGTGGCCGGATCTCAGCTCACCGCAAGCTCCGCCTCCCGGGTTTACGCTGCCTCAGCCTCCGGAGTAGCTGGGACTACAGGCGCCCGCCTAGTATTTTGTATTTTTTTAGTACAGACGGGGTTTCACCGTGTTAGCCAGGATGGTCTCGATCTCCTGACCTCGTGATCCGCCCGTCTCGGCCTCCCAAAGTGCTGGGATCACAGGCTTGAGCCACCGCGCCCGGCCATTTTTTCATTTCTTATCGAGATGGGGTCTCACTATGTTGTCCAGGCTGATCTCAAACTCCTCACCTCAAGTCATCCTTCTGCCTCAGCCTCCCAAAGCACTAGAGCATTACAGAAGCAAGCCACTGAACCTGCCCAATTGTTTACCTATTTTGATCTAGCAATTCTACAGCCAGAAATCTGTCCTAAAGAAGCCAAATGTGCAAATATTTAACTACAAAAATGTTTCCCGAAGCACTGTTTATAACAAAAATTGAAAATAACGTAAATATTAAATATTCAAATTTGACTAATGATAAAATTGTATCATAAATTGATACAGTCATTTAGGTAATGTTTCACAGAATAATATTTAGTAACAGAAAACAGTGAAAGTTTAATGTGATATGAGGCAGGAGTTGAATTACTATGAGGAGTGTGATCACTTTTTCGGTGGAAAAAATGTGTATTAGTATGAAAGACTAAGAATTTAAATGTGGTTACGATAATATATAACAAAATTTGCCATTTTAAACATTCTGTGCAGTTTTGTGGCATTAAATGCATTCACAATTACCACTATTCCCAAAGCTTCTTCATTACCCCAAAACAAAGCTCTACAATCATGAGGCAAAACACCATCCCCCAGCCCCATGGAATCTCCAGTCTACTTTCTGTCTCTATGAATCGCGCTGCTCTAGATGGCTTCTATCTATCGGTCACGTCGTACAGGATTTGTCCTTGGGTCTGGCTTCTTTCCTGCAGCAGAATGTCCTCAAGGTCCATCTGTGCTGCTCATATGTCAGAACTTCACGGATTCTATGACTGAGTAACATCCCATCGTGTGGATGGACCAAACGCGCTGACGCAGGCATCTGCCGAGACAGCTGGGTTGTTTCTGTCCTTCGGCTACTGTGAACGACGCGGCAGGAACCATGTTGTATGAAGATCTGTCTGTGGTCCTGGTCTTCATGTCAGGGGCACGCTCTCAGGAGTGGAGTTGCTGCAGACCAGAGGGTTGTCCTATGCTTAGCAACCTGAGGAACCACGACTGGCTTCCACAATGGCTGCAGCGTTTATATCCCCACCAGCAATGCGTGGGAGTCCCGACACTGCCACATCCTCTGTGGTGCGTCTCACCATAGCTCTGAGTTGGCTTCCCTGGTGGCCGGTGACGATGGACTCCTTTTCATGTGGGAACTGGCCCTTGGGGGCCTTCCTCAGAGAGACGGCTATTCAAGCCCTTTCTTTGCCCATTTCTGAACTGGTTGTTTAATTTTCTGTTGTTGAGATGTACAATCTCTTTATATATTCTGCATAAAAATTTCTTATCAGAGAATTTGCAAATACATTTCCTCATTCTGTAGGTGGTGTTTTCACTCCGTTGGTAGTAATCTTTGATGTACAAAAGTTTATTTTTCTCCATTTTAAAATCTTTTATTATCTTTACAAACCCTTGTGTTGGGGGCTGACTTTCAACAGATTGCAGTGAGGGAGCTGCTCTGCCACACGTGAAACCCCAACCCAGACGCAGGTCACCTACGGGCGGTTTAGTGCCAGGTTCCCTGCGAACGTGCGCTGCGTGACGGGTGAGGGGGTGGCTGCCTTTCCGGCTGCACATCATTTCCCAGGGCCAAACGTTTTTAATTTTAATCACGTTTATCTATTTCTTTGATTATGCTTTTGTATAGTATCCAAGAAATCGTCGTCAAATCCAATGTCATAAAGCTTTCCCCTCATGTCTTTTTCCAAGAGTGTTCTGGTTTTAGCTCTTAAGTACGGGCCTTTCATCCAGATCCATTTTCCATTTTCTTTTTTGAACAGAGTTTCAATCTTGTCACCCAGGTTGGAGTGCAGTGGCGTGATCTCGGCTCACTGCAACCTCCGCCTCCGGGTTCAATTGATTCTCCCACGTCAGCCTCCTAGGTAGCTGGGATTATAGGCGCCCGTCACCACACCCGACTAATTTGTGTATTTTTAGTAGACGGGGTTTCACAGTGTTGGACAGACTGGTCTTGAGTTCCTGACCTCAGGTGATCCACCTGCCTCGGCCTCCCAACGTGCTGGGATTACAGGCGTGAGCCACCACGCCCAGCTGCATTTTCCATTAATTTTTGAAGAGAGTGTTAGGTGAGGATCCAACCTCACGCTTCGGGATGTGGACATCCAGCTGTCTCAGCACCATCTGTTGAAAAGGAAATCTTTTCTCCATTGAATGGTCTTCGTAACTTTGCCAAAAATCAGTGACCATATATGCAATAGTTTATTTCTGGGCTTTTTATTTTATTCCATTGGTCTCTATTTCTGCCTTTATGCCAGTCCCACACTGTTTTCACTACTGTGGCCGTATATAGTAAGTTTTGAAATCAGCAAGTGTGAGTTCTCTAACTTTTTCAAAATTGTTTGGCTTCTCTGGGTCTCTTGAGACTCTGTATAAACTTTAGAGTTTTTTTGTATTTGTAAAAAAAAAAAAGCTGTTAGTGTCGGGCACGGTGGCTCACACTCATAATCCCACCACCATGGGAGGCTGAGGCGGGCAGATCACTCAAGGTCAGGAGTTTGAGACCAGCCAGGCCAACATGGTGAAACCCCGTCTCTACTAAAAATACCAAAAATTAGCCAGGCATGGTGGCGGGCACCTGTAATCTCAGCTACTAGGGAGGCTGAGGCAGGAGAATTGCTTGAACCTGGGAAGTGGAGGATGCAGTGGGCCGAGATCGCACCACTGTACTCCAACCTGGGTGACAGAGCAACACTGTCTCAAAAAAACAAAAAAGCTGTTAGGATTTTAGTAAGGACTCCATGGACACTACAGCCATTTTAACCACATTCAGTCTTCTCATTTGTGAACATGGGATGTCTTTCTATTTATTCAGGTCTTCTTTAATTTCTTTCAGCAATGTTTGTTAGTTTTCAACTAACAATTATGAGTCTTTTGTCTTCTTGGTTAAACTTACTCCTAAGTATTTTATTCTTTTTGATGTTACTGTAAATCAAACTGTTTTCTTAATTTCTTTTTTGAACACTTCATTTGAAGGATATAGAAATGCAACTGATTTTTCTGTGTTAATTTTTTATCCTATTTTGCTGAATTGGTTTTGTTAGCTAACAATATTTTTGTATATTCTTTAGGGCTTTCTACATATAAGAACATATCATCTGTGAACAGAGGCAATTTTACTTCTTCCTTTCCAACGGGAACGCCTTTGATTTCTTTTTCTTGCCTAATTGCTCTGGGCTGAAGACACAGTGAGACGACGTACTATAAGGCGAACACCTTCCGCACGGCAAACCCCTCATTAGCTCCACTGTCTGTTATCAGGTTCTATAGAGCATGAGCGCTCACTAGTGGTTTTTAATAATAAACTGGGTAACCAAAGTGAGATGAAGGAACTATTTCTGGACAACTAGGTCAATGTGTGAAGGCCTCAAGTCCTGGAGATGTCAGTAAGGATGTCCCTTGCTCAGCTTTCTGAGAAACGTCTACACACACACTAGGAGGGTGATTCTGACAGATGAACATACCTTGGGATCCACCAGGGCCCCGGCCTTGATGAGGTACTTCACTGCTTCCAGATGGTTGTTTTCGGCTGCTTCCATCAACGGGGTCCTCTGGTCTTCTGAGCAGGTGTCGATATTAGCGCCCGCCTAGTGAAACAACAGTTCAGGTGTATGGGAGGGCTGTGACGGTAGCCACCGCCTGGGGACAAGTGACTGACAAGCATCTGCACTCAAAACAAGAGAGCTGTACTGTTTCAGTGACCAACAATGTCTGAGTTTTCTACACATGTATTCAAAGACATAATTATTCTATTAGTAGCAAACCTTTAAGCAGAGTATTTCTGCTAGATTTAATTCCACTTCTAAGGTAATTTGATAGAAAATGTTTATAGCACAGGAGTGTGACAACACCTTTAGAAATGAGGAGGATGGTGACAACCTTCTGAAGCAGACAAAGAAGGGGAGGGAGGGGCCCCTAAGCAGAGAGGAGGCAGGAGGGAGGTGCCGGTTCACCCCGCCACGACACACAGCACCCTCTCCCTGATTTAGTCCTCGCCAAAATAAATGGAAAATCCTGATTTCCAGTAGCATGCATTCCAGAACAGTTTCCGTTTTTCCAAATAAACAGAGAAACTGGAAAGACCAATGAACTGGCAGGTATACATAGACTGAAAGACCAATGAACTGGCAGGTATACACAGACTGAAAGACCAATGAACTGGCAGGTATACATAGACTGAAAGACCAATGAACGGCAGGTATACATAGACTGAAAGACCAATGAACGGCAGGTACACACAGGTAAATTTTTCTGGGTGTGACACTTAAGAAGCCCCCAGCTTTAAAACTGGCTGTGCGCTAAAAGCAAATCAGCTGCTGGGCCGTTGAAACCTCTTCTCCGTGAGGAAAACCTTCTTAGATGACAAAACCGAGTATTTCATTTACAAAATAAACATTCGTTATGAAAAAAGGTTGAAAATAGTATTGTTTTCACTATTAGTAATTAAAAACCAAAAGTAACACAATTAAATAAGGAATGTTTAAACAGCCCTAGAATGGTCTATATGGAAAATGAGGCTAATTCGTAAAGGCTAAGAGGGCCAGAGGCCAGGCGCGGCGGCTCACGCCTGTCATCCCAGCACTTCGGGAGGCCAAAGGCAGGCAGAGAAGCCAGGCGCGGCGGCTCACGCTTGTAATCCCCGCACTTTGGGAGGCCAAGGCAGGTGGATCACCTGAGGTCAGGTGTTTGAGAACAGCCTGGCCAACATGGTGAAACCCCGTCTCTACTAAAGATACAAAAATTAGCCGGGCGCGGTGGCGGCCGCCTGTAGTCACAGCTACTCGGGAGGCTGAGGCAGGAGAGTTGCTTGGACCCGGGAGGCAGAGGTTGCAGTGAGCCGAGATCGCACCACTGCACTCCAGCCTGAGCAACAAGAGTGAACTCTGTTTAAAAAAAACACACAAAACAGAGGGGCAGTGAGAGGCCCAGGGGACTCTGACTGGAACGAGCTGGGCTTCACCGAAGAGAACACGGGGTCCACAGAGCAAGGGTCAGAGGTCAAAGGGCTGCGGCCTAGAGGTGCACAGCGGGGGCAGTGATGCAAGGCTGACCTCAAACACCAAAGCTCAAAGCCAAGGTCCGGCTGCCAGACCTGAAGGTAAAGTAGCGCCAGAAGTCTACAGCAGCTAATTTTTAACAAGTAGTAAGCTTGAAAAAACACAAAACAAGGTAGAGAGCGAGACCCGTGCTGTGCAGAGGAGCTGTGGCTCTGCCTCTCTCAGCACACAGAGGCTGCTCCTCCAGCTCCCAAAAATCCTGGAGAAAGAAGAAAGGGTGCGCCCTCAAGGGAGAGGCCGGCATCGAAAGCCCCTGCACCAGCACCAGGCCGGCAGCGCGGGCGGCAGCGCAGACAGACCCGAGTCTGCAAGGGCAGGAGGGGCTGACGGCTTCGGGCGGAGCATAGGGGAGGATGGGGGTCCTTTCCCAGGAAGGGGGGCTTGGCTACGGCGGCCCATAGGATACGGGAGCCTGCCAGCGCCCCAGCGCTGAGCCTTCACAGACCCGCACCGCACCCAGGACCCGGGTAAGCAGAAGGAAATGACCTCGCCCATGAAAACACGGGACACTGAGACAAAGCCCAAGAAAGCTCTAAGAGTGGAGAGAAGCAGCGGAGAAAAGGAAGAGTCAAAGCGAGACCCGCGCGGGGGCCAATGGTGTCCAGACGGACCTGCCAGTGCCAAGAAACAGGTCCCGCCCCACATCCAGCTCCATCCTGGACCCCACGCAGACGCGGAGCAGGACCCGCCTCCCACGCGCTCCCCAAACCCTCACTGCAAGCGGAGCGGCTGGCACTGACCAAGTCCCACACAGTCTGAGGCCCCAAGGCCGAAACGGCCGCTCACCCTCCGCGAGGCTCTGACGGACGGCGCCCTTCCCAGGCTCGCGCGCACGCCCGGCCAACGGCTACCCATCGTGGTCCGCCTCCCAGGCATTGGGCCCGCAGCAACTCCCGCCTGCAGCCCAGAAGGCACAGTGGCTCTCCCAGTCCCCGAGGGGAGGAGAGACACCTGCAGTGCGGCAATCCCCTACACCTGCAACCTCCCTACACCTGCAACCTCCCTACACCTGCATGAGCCTCATCCCAGCTGAGGCACTGGCAGAAGCGGGTGCAGGTGGAGCCTTCGCCAATGCCCTGGGCCCCCCTGCGTGTTGCATGGCTGGCTCTACCAGTCGCTCAGTCATCTGCCACCACCCAGCAATTGCTTCAGCATCCAGTCCCTGCTAGGGGACTCTGGGAAGGGGCATCCCGGCCAGGGCTGGTGCCACAGAGCAGTCCAGCTTCTGCAGGCAGGTATGGGGTTCAGTGGGGAGAAGGCAGTGCCCACCCCACCCCCGCCCTTCTCTGAGAGGCCTCTGTGGCCCCTCTGCCCGCTTCCTGGCCCCACGAGAGGGGAGGGGGAGACTCTGCTGGCGGGAGCCATCGGGCCCTTGACCCTCTCCCCAGAGCCTAGGGCCTGGCCTCTCCACTTACTGCAGGGCACCTCAGTTCCTGGGGGGCTGTCCAGCGGGGACACAGGGCCTCCCTCTGTGGGCAGCTGTCCACCTCCTACTTGCCTATCTACACTCCCAATGTGGTAATGACCTTGGCACCTCCACCCACCTCCTATCCCCAATGGCCACCGTCAACCAGCCCTGCCTACTGGGGGGTGGCCCCTGAAACCCGAGGGCCCCCAGTGCTGCTCTGGGATCTAGACGCCCTCTTCCAGGGGGTGTCACCCAACGAAAGCATATATGATGTTTGGGTCAGCCACCCTCAGGACCTGGCGGCCCCTGGCCCAGGCTGGCTGCTCTCCTGTGAGGCTCCTAGGACAGGGGCCACTCCTCCCTCCCGCTCCCACCCCCAGTTTGTTGACAGGGAGCCAAGGCCAGGCGGGTGTCTGCGACCCCAGCAGCCTCGAAACACCAGGCAGCAGCCTTGCTGGGAGTCCACAGTGTTTACTGGACTACCCCACGTGTGGTGTGGCCGTGGCCCAGCTGGCACGAGCCTGGTCCTGGTGAGTCACGCCTCTGTTTCCCCTACACTCAGAGGCAAGGCTGTGGGGGGCAGGGCTGAGCCTGGAATAGCTCTTTCCAGTCCCCTCTTCTCAGCCCACCACCCATCTATCCATCACCAGTTGCCACCGAATGGTAGCTGCAGCCTGGGAAGGAGGTAGCACCTTTTCAGGAAAAGGGGTTAGGGAATCAAGACTGGACCCTACATGGTCTTGGTAGGGGCGTGGGGGAGATAACAGTAAAGGAGTTTACAACATTTTTTTTTTAATGAGAGATGACGGAAGAGCAAAGAGATGAAAACATGAGTGTCTGTGGTGACTTCAAACGGGAGCATGTGGCACCTCGCTCAGCACTCTTCAGAAACCGCAGACACAGTGTGAAACCCGACAGCACGAGGGACCGGGACACCAATGAAACCCGACAGCACGAGGGACCGGGACACCAATGAAACCCGACAGCACGAGGGACCGGG